CATACATTTTTTTACTAAAATTTCATTCCGTTTTGCTCTTTTGAATTCATTTTTTTTCTCGATTCTATTATGCGTCCATCTTAATACTTAAAAATGAAAAAATAAACTGAAAATTCTGCGTTATTGTTTTCTTTTTCAAGGCAAAAGCCGCCGCAGCAAAATGAAAGGCGAGGGCAACCATAAGATGGATCCTTTATCATGGCAGGCATGCCATGGGAATTGATTAATCTCGAAGTGATTTATTGGATAGACAAAAAAACTTATTGTTACCCTCAACATATCAGATTCATCCCTTTTAAGAGAATTGTAGATTCTGTACGCAAATACGCACGTKTGAAACTGAAAATGTACGCAAATACGCACGTGTGAAACTGAAAAAAACAAAAATGGGAATGAAAAAATGAACTTCTTTTTACTTGTCGACTGCGGCGATTGTCACGTGGAATTAAATTGGAAATACGAACACGTTCGAAAAGGATCAGGGACTGGGCCTCATCCATGATTCCTAGCGCTGCTAATGAAAGCGCAATAAAAGACTAATGAACTAATTATCAACATACTGTGTCGCGCTTTCAATAAGAGCGCACGCAGCATTGGTTTTCGGATTTGCACGCGCAGTGCCCTATAACTATTGTTGCTTTTGTCTTATTGCTCAAAATCTTGGGTTTTGTTTATAAAAGGTGATACCTCGAACTTTTTAAGTTTGTTATTTATCGAGCTTTTCAGGAATTGATGGTACGGAAACTGAAATAAAAAATAGCAGTATAAAAGAGTTGGTTTCCCGGAAAGCGCGCACAAATGTCAAAAAAGCGCGCGTAAAACGTGACGTCACGTGACGTCGACGTATTTCACTTATTACGTACAACATCACCAAGCAACATTCACAAACACATTTGATGCGGTTCGCACGTGAAAAAATTGCTTGATTCAAAACATTGCTAAAATGGGAGGCTGTATTTCATTGAAACGCTTTAAAAACAACAAGGTTTCTCCTATGATCGAGAAACAAAACGATTTTGACAACGATGAGCTTGTTCACCAAGCCAAAGACTACATCAAATCACAAAAGTCTTTGTTGGTTTCGACTTCGACTCAAACTGATTTGAGCTTAGAAAACTTGCAAGAGGATGGGAAAGAGGACGAACCTGGGAAGTATTGGTCGTCAAGTAAAAGTCAA